CCCAATTAACCCCTAATTAACCACCCACCCAGGATGATGGCGACCAGCCCAATTAACCCCTAACGAACCACCCACCCAGGATGATGGTGACGGTCTTGACCAGCGCCAGCACTGTGTCGCGGTGCCGCGGGTGCGCACCCCTGTTACCCCCTAATTAATGGCTAATTAACCGCTAATTAGCCACCCACCCAGGATGATGGCGACCAGCCAGGGGGAAATGGGGGGAAAATTGGGGAATGATATGGGGGGGACATGGGAGAAAAATAGGGGAAAATGGGGCAAAAATTGGGGAAATAAATGAGAGGGAATGGGGGAAATTGGGGAATAAAATGGGGGAAAATTTGGGAATGATATGGGAGGGGAAATGGGGGGAAAATGGGGGAAAGATGGGGGGAAATGGGGGAAAAAACGGGGAAAAATTGGGGAATAAAATGGGGGGGGAATTGGGGAATGATATGGGAGGGGAAATGGAAAAATGGGAGTGAAAATGGGGGGAAAATGGGGGAAAAGAGGGGAAAATTGCGGGGAAATGGGGATTTTTGAAAAAAATTGGAGAGAAATGGGGGAAATGGAGGAAAATGGGGGGAAATGGGGATTCAGGGAAAAATGGGGATTATGGGGGGAAATGGGGAAGAAAGGGAAAAATGGGAGGAAAATGTGGAAAAATTGGGAAAAAAGGAAGAAAAATGAGAAAAATTGGGGTAAGCCCCACAAAATTGGACAGTCCTTCCCAAAACTGAGGAAAAACGCTCAAAAATTAGGAAAAAAACCCTAAAAATTGGGAAAAAACTCCAAAATACCCCAAAAATCAGAAAAAGAAGACAAAAATGTGGAAAACCTCCAAAAACCAGGGGGAAAACCCCATAAATTGGGGGGAAACCCCCAAAATTGGGAAAAAATTCCCAAATTCTGGCTCACCTTTTCTCCCCTGGATCCCAAACTCGAGAATTTTTGGGATCTTCCCAAATTTTTTTCTTCCTGGATTTTTTTTCTTCCTGGATTTTTTTTATTCCGGGATTTCCGGGGCGGTTTCTCCTCCTTGGGCAAACAAATCCCTGGAGTTGAGGAATTCCCGAGGAATTCCCATTGTTCCTTGGGGTGGACTTTGGATCCCGACATTCCCAAGGCTGGGAGGGGAAAATCCGGGATAATCCCCGCAAAAATCAGGAAAAAATGGAATTTTTGGGAATTTTTTAGTGGAAAAAAGGGGGGGGAAATGAGGAAATGGGGTTGGTCCAGGTGGTTTTTCCCAAATTTTGGGGGATTTTTGGATCTGGATCTGGCTGGGAATTGTTGACCCCAAAATTTGGGAATGGATGGGATGGAAATTTAGAAAGAATTCCAAGATTTTTGGTGGATTTTGAGAATCTTCAGGGTGGGAATTCCTTAAAAATCCCATTTAAATGCTGGTTTTTCCCATTCCTGGTGTCCCTCCTTTCATCCCTGATCCCAAATTTCCTGGAATTGCTTTTGGAATGTGCCAGGAGTGGCAAAATCTCACATTCCCGGATTTTTTTGGGGAAGAGGGGTCTTTAATCCCATCCCAATCCCACAAAAATCCCTTAAAAATCCATAAAATTCCTTAAAATAAAAAAAAAAACAGAAAACCCCCAGAAAATTCCCATAAATTTTTTTTTAAATCACATTAAAATCCCTAAAAATTCCTTTTCCTTTTTTCCTGCCCTCTTAAAATCCCTGAAAATTCCATCCCAAACTTTCCCCGCTGGAACCACAAAAAAAATTTTGGAAAAGCCCCAAAATCCCGGAAAAAACACCGGGAAAATCCCAAATTTCCCTCCCCCCGCAGCTTTTCCCAACATTCCCAGCCCGACCTTGGAATTCCCGCGGGAATCCAAACAACTCCAGGAGGGGGGAAAAAAAAACAACCAAAAAAGGGATAAAAACACCCAAAAATCCCAAAATTCCCGCAGGAATTATTTCAATTAAAACCCACCGGGAGCCGCAGGAAATCCTTTGTTCCCAAAATTCTGGGAAAACGGGAAAAAATTGGAATTTTCTGCTTCTTTTTCCCTTTTTTCCAAGGGTTTTTTTTTTCCAGCGGTTCTGTGAAAAATTCCGGGATGGGGGCGGGAATTCGGGAAGGATTTGGGGTTTTTTCTTTGGATTTTGGGGTTTTTTTCCTGGATTTTGGGGTTCTTTCCTAGATTTTGGGGTGGTTTTTTTCCTTGGATTTTGGTTTTTTCCTGGATTTTGGGATTTCTTTCCCGGGATTTTGGGGTTTTTCCCTTGGACTTTGGGGTTTTTTCCTCGGATTTTGGGGTTCTTTCCTTGGATTTTGGGGTTTTTCCCTGGATTTTAGGGTTTTATTTCCTGGGATTTTGGTTTTTTCCCCCTGGATTTAAGGGTTTTTCCCTGGATTTTGGGGATGTTTCCCTAGATTTGGTTTTTTTCCCCTTGGATTGAGGTTTTTTTTCCTGGATTTAAAGGTTTTTTTCCTTGGATTTGTGGTTTTCCCCCTGAATTTGGGGGTTCCCCCTGTATTTGGGGTGGTTTTTCCCCCTGGATTTAGGTTTTTTTCTTTGGATTTGGGGGGGGGGGGGTTTCCCTGGATTTGGGTTTTTTCCTTACATTTTGCTTTTTTCCCCTGGATTTGGGTTTTTTCCTTGAGGAAATTTCCCTCTTTTCCGGGATTTCCCCTCCCCTTTGGGAATTCCCCTCCCCCTCCTCCCTCGGGACTTCCTTCCCTCCCAAAATCCCTTAAAAATCCCTTAAAAATCCCAATTTTTTCCTGGAAAAAAAAAACCCGGAAAGTTCCTCCCCCACTCCTCCCAGGCCCGCACGGACTTGGGGTAAAACACCTGGAATTCTCCTCCCCCAAAAAAACCCGGGAAAACTCCATTAAAATCCCCAAAATCCCACTTTTTTCAAATTCCCCCTCCCCCATTTTTAAGGCTCCGAGGGGAATTTTGGGATGAAATTCCAGGAATTCTCACCTGGGATCAGCACGCGGCGCTCCAGGGGGGAAATTCCCATTTCCAGCGGCGCTTCCCGGCGGGAAAAAATCCCCAAAATTTTCTTTTTTTGGGATAAAAAAAGAAGTTGAAGCTCGCGTAGAAATCCGGGAAGGGGAAAATTCCTCGGAGGAGCCTCCGGGAGCCGCCCCCGGGCGGGGCCTGAAATTCGATCCCGGGGACCCAAAATCGCGAGCGGGGAAAGGGCCGGGAGCGGCGTCCCGAACTGGGAGCGGTGTGGGAGCGGTGAAATTCCCAAACTGGGAGCGGTGAAATTCCCGAACTGGGAGCGGTGAAATTCCCAAACTGGGAGCGGTGAAATTCCCGAACTGGGAGCGGTGAAATTCCCAAACTGGGAGCGGTGAAATTCCCGAACTGGGAGCGGTGAAATTCCCAAACTGGAAGCGGTGAAATTCCCAAACTGGGAGCGGTGAAATTCCCAAACTGGGAGCGGTGAAATTCCCGAACTGGGAGCGGTGAAATTCCCAAACTGGGACCAGTTCACTCCCAAATTGGGATTGGTTCATTCCCAAACTGGGAGCGGTGAAATTCCTAAACTGGGGTGGGTGAAAGTCCCAAACTGGGACCAGTTTAATTCCCAAACTGGGACTGGTGAAATTCCCAAACTGGGACCAGTTCCATTCCCAAACTGGGACCGGTGAAATTCCCAAACTGGGAGCGGTGAAATTCCTAAACTGGGACCAGTTTAATTCCCAAACTGGGACCGGTGAAATTCCCAAACTGGGACCAGTTTAATTCCCAAACTGGGACCGGTGAAATTCCCAAACTGGGACCAGTTCCATTCCCAAACTGGGACCAGTTTAATTCCCAAACTGGGACCGGTGAAATTCCCAAACTGGGACCAGTTTAATTCCCAAACCGGGACCGGTGAAATTCCCGAACTGGGACCGGTGAAATTCCTAAACTGGGACCAGTTTAATTCCCAAACTGGGATTGATTCACTCCCAAACTGGGACCAGTTTAATTCCCAAACTGGGATTGGTTCACTCCCAAACTGGAACTGCTGAAATTCCCAAACTGGGACCGGTTCCATTAAAATGGGAATAAATTGGATTAAACCGGAATAAACTGGATTAAAATGGGAATAAATTGGGTAAAAATGGGAATCAATTGGATCAAAATTGAAATAAATTGGATTAAAGTTGGAATAAATGGGATTAATTAATTTTAATTAACAATTTTTTAATTATGTCATTGATTTTGCAGGTGGATTTTGGGTGGATTCCTCCAATGGAGAGGTCATTCCCACCTGGATCCATCCTGGAATCCACGACTCCTCTTCCTCCTCTTCCTGGAACTGGAGAAGACATTCCAGGTTGGATCCATCCATGGCCTCTTCCTCCTCTCTTCCCTCACTTTTCCAGGATTTGGGATCCACCCTCTACTCCCGCTGCTCTTCCTCTTCCTCTTCCTCTTCCTCTTCCTCTTCCTCTTCCCTCATTTTTTTGGGAAAATTTCCAGGATTTTGGGTAGATTCATTCAATGGAGAGGCCGGAACTGGACCCGCCATTCCTCCTCCTCCTCCTCCTCTCTTTTCTCACTCTTCCAGGATTTGGGATCCACCCTCTACTCCTGCTGCTCTTCCTCTTCCTCTTCCTCTTCTTTTTCCCTCATTTTTTTGGGAAAGTTTCCAGGATTTTGGGTGGATTCATTCAATGGAGAGGCCGGAACTGGACCTGCCATTCCTCCTCCTCCTCCTCTCTTCCCTTTTGGGGAAAATTGCCGGGATTTTGGGTGGGCTCCTCCAATGGAGAGGTCATTTCTGGTTGGATCCATTCTGGAATCTCCTCCTCTTCCTCCTCCTCCTCATCTTCCTCCTCTCTTTTCTCATTTTTCCAGGATTTGGGATCCACCCTCTACTCCTGCTGCTCTTCCTCTTCCTCTTCCTCTTCCTCTTCCTCTTCCTCTTCCTCCTCTTTTCCCCTCATTTTTCTGGGAAAATTACCGGAATTTTGGGTGGATTCCTCCAACAGACAGGTCATTCCTGCTTGGATCCATCCTGGAATCTGCTACCCCTCTTCCTCCTCCTTTCCCTCTTCCTCTTCCTCCTCTGCCTCCTCTTCCTCCTCTCTCATTTTTGGGAGAAAACCGATGGGATTTTGGGTGGATTTCTCCAACACCGCCATTCCTGATTGGATCCATCCTGGAATCTGCTACTCCTCTTCCTCCTCATTTTTCCATGAAACCCGCCAGGATTTGGGATCCACCCTCTACTCCCTCTGCTCTTCCTCTTCCTCTTCCTCCTCCTCTTCCTCCTCTTTTCCCCTCATTTTTTGTGAAAATCTCCAGGATTTTGGGTGGATTCATTCAATCCAATGAATTGAATTGAATTTCATTCAGTCTGGAGAGGCAGAACTGGACCTGCCATTCCTCCTCCTCCTCCTCTCTTCCCTCACATTTCCAGGATTAGGGATCCCCCCTCTACTCCCGCTGCTCTTCCTCCCATCCCTTCCCTCCAGGATTTTGGGTGAGTTCCTTCAATGGAGATGCCAGAACTGGACCCGCCATTCCTCCTCCTCTCTTCCCTCACTGTTCCAGGATTTGGGATCCACCCTCTACTCCCGCTGCTGCTCTTCCTCCTGCTCCTCCTCCTCCTCGTCCTCCTCCTCTCTCATTTTTTGGAGAAAACCGATGAGATTTTGGGTGGATTTCTCCAACGCCATTCCTGCTTGGATCCATCCTGGAATCCGCTACTCCTCTTCCTCCTCATTTTTCCATGAAACCCACCAGGATTTGGGATCCACCCTTTAGTAGGTTTGGGATCTACTCCCGCTGCTGCTCTTCCTCCTCCTCCTCCTCTTCCTCTTCCTCCTCTTTTCCCCTCATTTTTTGGGAAAATTTCCAGGATTTTGGGTGAGTTCCTTCAATGGAGATGCCAGAACTGGACCCATTCCTCCTCCTCCTCCTCTTCCTCTTCCTCCTCTTTTCCCCTCATTTTTTTGGGAAAATTTCCAGGATTTTGGGTGAGTTCCTTCAATGGAGATGCCAGAACTGGACCCACCATTTCTCCTCCTCTCTTTTCTCACTCTTCCAGGATTTGGGATCCACCCTCTACTCCCGCCGCTGCTCTTCCTCCTGCTCCTCCTCCTCCTCCTCGTCCTCCTGGGGGTCCCGCAGGCGGTACTTGAGGCGGCGCAGGGGCTCGGTGAGGCTGCGGGGCGCCGAGCCCTCGAGCTCCTGGCGCTCCTGGAAGTTCCTGTCCAGCAGCTCGGCCGCCTGGCGCCAGCCGTGGAAGCAGGAGGGGCCCCGATCCCGGATTTCCCGCACGGCGTTGGGCGCCAGCACCGCCCCGCTGGGCGCCAGCACCACCACGGCCGGCAGCTCCGACACCCCGAAACGCTGCTCCAGCTCCCTGGGGGAGAACGGGGAAAAAATGGGGAGAATGGGGGAAATGGGAAATATGTCCTGCCTGTCCCTACCTGTTGTAGGTGTCCCCACCCATCCCCGCATGTGCTCACCTGTCTCTCACCTGTCCCTGACCTGTTCCAGCTGTCCCCACCCATCCCAACCTGTCCCTCACCTGTTGTAGGTGTCCCCACCTGCTCTCACCTGCTGAAGGCGGCGTCCCGGTAGGGCAGGGCCATCCAGGTGCGGGGCATGTCCCTCAGGTACCGCCGGTGCTCCTCCTCGCACGGGTCCCTCCCCACGTAGACCAGGCCGAGCTGCTCCTGTCCCACCTGTCCCTCACCTGTCCCACCCGTGCTCACCTGCCAAAGGCGGCGTCCCGGTATGGCAGGGCCATCCAGGCGCGGGGCATGTCCCTCAGGTACCGCCGGTGCTCCTGTCCCCACCTGTCCCTCACCTGTCCCACCTGTCCCTCACCTGTTGTAGGTGTCCCCACCTGTCCCTCACCTGCCGAAGGCGGCGTCCCGGTAGGGCAGGGCCATCCAGGTGCGGGGCATGTCCCTCAGGTACCGCCGGTGCTCCTCCTCGCACGGGTCCCTCCCCACGTAGACCAGGCCGAGCTGCTCCTGTCCCACCTGTCCCTCACCTGTCCCACCCGTGCTCACCTGCCAAAGGCGGCGTCCCGGTATGGCAGGGCCATCCAGGCGCGGGGCATGTCCCTCAGGTACCGCCGGTGCTCCTGTCCCCACCTGTCCCTCACCTGTCCCACCTGTCCCTCACCTGTTGTAGGTGTCCCCACCTGTCCCTCACCTGCCGAAGGCGGCGTCCCGGTAGGGCAGGGCCATCCAGGTGCGGGGCATGTCCCTCAGGTACCGCCGGTGCTCCTCCTCGCACGGGTCCCTCCCCACGTAGACCAGGCCCAGCTGCTCCTGTCCCACCTGTCCCTCACCCATCCCCACCTGTCCCTCACCTGTTGTAGGTGCCCCCACCTGCGCTCACCTGCCGAAGGCAGCAGCATCCCGGTAGGGCAGTGCTATCCAGGTGTGGGGAACGTCCCTCAGGTACCGCCGGTGCTCCTG